TTTTTTTTTTTTTTTTTGGTTTTTCGAGACATGGTTTCTCTCTAGCTTTGGAGCCTGTCCTGAACTAGCTCTGTAGACCAGGCCGTCCTCGAACTCACAGAGATCCACCTGCCTCTGCCTCCTGAGTGCTGGGATTACAGGCGTGCGCCACCAGCGCCCGGCTCTCCTATTTTCTTCCTGCCATTTTGGTATTCCTCAAGCTTCTGTCCTAGTGTCTTTTATTACAAACAAATATACTCACATTATCTCAATTACTATTCCTATTCTAATAATTTTATGTGTACATTCCCAGCCCAGATCACTCTGGATTATTGACCTATAATTCTGTCCATTAGACAATCTGAAAATGTATGACTCAACTCTGCCTTCTTTCTTATTTCTTTGTTCAGTCAACTTAGTAGTTCTCAAATTTGTCAACTATTCACTTTCTCCACATTGTTGTCAATTTCTATTTGTTTAGCTCGGGGGAGGGGGATCTTCTTTTGTTGTTAGTTTTGATGCTACTACTCTTGTTGGGTTTTTTTTTTTATAATTTATTCAATTTTACTTAATGTGTATTGGTGTGAGGGTGTCAGATCCCCTGAAACTGGAGTTACAGACAGTTGTAAGCTGCCATGCGGGTCCTCTGGAAGAGCAGCCAGTGCTTTTAACCACTGAGCCATCTCTTCAGCCCCCACTGTTGTTTTGATAGGCTCTCACTACATGGCTCCAACTTCCTGGAACTTGCTATGTAGCCCAAACAGCCTTGAACTTGAGGTGATTCTGCTGCCTCCTTTTCTCAAGTGCTGGGATTACAAGTGTGGACCACTACACTGGGCCTGTCATCTCTCGATGGGATCAGCCTCATCCTCTGCCTGAATTACTCCAACCGCTCATCTACCTGACGCTGTACTCAGCCACCTCTGTTCTGTTTCATTCTGCATCCAGACTTTTCTAATTACAACCTTGATTACATACTATTTCCAAACTCAAGTATTTACATAGCTCTCCCACTACCCTCAGAAAAATTCTTTACCATGGTTAAGATCTGCCTGCTTCGTGCCTCCCTAACATCTTCAGTCATTTCCCTTGTATTTTTATGCACTAGCCATTTGTATATAGTTTGCCTCTTCTCTCCCTGGTTTTCAGGCTTTGGCAATCCTCTCCTGGTCAGAAACATCCTCTTCTACTTCAAAGTCTTATTTATCTACTGAAGATGGTTTAGTTTCTCGAGAAACAATGCCCTGATTTCCACAACCACCTCTGCCAAGTGCTTGGTATTTTTGAGGGTTTTTTTTTTGTTTGTTTGTTGGTTTGCTGGTTGGTTGGTTTGGTTTGGTTTTTTCAAGACAGGGTTTCTCTGTGTGTAGCCCTGGCAATCCTGAAACTCACTTTGTAGACCAGGCTGGCCTTGAACTCACAGAGATCCACCTGCCTTTGCTTCCCAAGTGCTAGGATTAAAGGCATGAGTCACCATAGCCCAGCTTTAAAGGTTTTTAAAAGTGCAATTCAAAGGGTTTGAGTGTATTTACCAAGTCATGTAACCATCAACACTATCTAATTAATCACCTCTAAAAAAAACCCCATGTCTGTTAGCAATCACTCCCATTCTTGGCTTCTATCAACCACTGGAAACCACTAATATACTTGTTCTGCTTTGGAGGCAGGGTTTTATCAAGTAACCTAGGCAGGCCTCAAACTCATGATCCTCCTGCCTCAGCCTCCTAAGTGCTGGGATTTCAATAATGTACTAACAATATACTTAGATTTTAACCTACTTTTCAATTCTATTGATTTGCATATTCTGGACGAAAGTTAAATCACATAATCTGTGATTTTTGTGTCTTATTTAGATGAATTTTTAATCCTTAGAATCACTACAGTTCAGAACAAAATAGGTGCTCGATATCTATTGACTCAATGAAGAAACACTATGGGAACAAAAAGTTTAGGTCTAAGTGGCTAGAGAGATGGCTCAGCAGTTAAGAGTGCTTATTGCACAGTCATGAGTTTAAATACTGTGGCCGCAAACTCACACAACTGCATGTTCTAACTCCAGATCCAAGGAGCCCTTATGCCCTCTTCCAGCTTCCACAGGCATCCAAACACATGTGTGCATAAACTCAGACACATGCACATATACACAAAATAAACATTTTAGAAAAAGAATCAATGTTCCAGAAAAAAATCATTAAAAAAATCATAAAGCTAGAGAACATCTATTTCAAATACCTATCTTTGTAGATTAGGAAACCAAGATCCCAAGAAGTCATTGGTTTACTCAGAGCCTAAAACACAAGAAGTTGGACACACAATGAAGGAGCACCACAACAGTGACTCCCCAAATGAAAGTCTCCTTTGGTTTCACTTTACGTACATGAAATACTATCAGTGCCTCCCTAGTTGTTGACTTACTGCCTTGTTTCTAAACATTGTAGCCTCTTCCTGAGGTTAGAAGGAGCTGATTTCAAAAAGGCAAAAAGACCCAAATGATTTTTTTTCAAAATAGACAAAATCCTTCTAATTATTGTTATTGCTGTTTCTCTCTCTTTGAACAGCTGTTTTATGGACGTCTCCTATTCAAGTACAACCCGATTAATTCTTGAGCACACAAGCCCAGAGATCATCCTCTCTCAGAGAATACCCCTGATGTGTTTTGATTCATTATCTGTGATAGTTTGGGTGAAAATGGCCACCACAGGCTCATATATTTAAAAGCTTGGTTCCCAGTTGATGGAACTCTTTGGGAAGGATCAGGAGGTGGGACCTTATTGGAGGAGGCTTGTCACTGGGGGTTGGGCTTTCTGAGGTTTCACATATCCACACCTTTCCCAGAACTTGCTCTCTTGCTGTCTCATGTGATCTGTTTCACTCTCTTGAACTCATTCTCTAGTCTTCCCTTTCCCTCTTCCCTTCCCTCCTCCTCCTTCCTTTCCTCCCCCTCCCTCTCCTCTTCCTTCTTCTCCCTCCCCTCCTCTTCCTTCCCTCCCTCTGCTCCCTCTCCTCACTCTTCCTCTCCCCACTCTACCTTGGGTTTGTAGATCAAGATGCACGTCTTGACTACTGCTTCAGTGTCATGCCTGCTGCAAGAAGGCTAGTTTCTTCAAAAATTGGTGCTGGAACAAGAGAACAACCACAGGAGGGAATGACAACAAGATGGAGGAACAGGACAAGGGTTCAACCTAAATCGCATGCCATATATGAATATAAATTAAATATGGATTGAAACATGAAACAGAGACTGGGGAGATGGCTCGTGGCATAGTGCTGTGCACTGTAATCTCAGCTGTGGGAGGCAGAGATCAAAGTGTATTTGGGGCTTGTTAGCCAGCCATTTTAGCCAACTAGGGGAGCCCCAGATTCAGTGAGAAAGCCTGTCTCAAAAGAATAAGGTAAAAGGGCTAAAGATATGGCTCAGTGGTTAAGAGCACTGACCGCTCCTCCAGAAGATCCAAGTTCAATTCCTAGAACCCACACGGCAGCTCACAACCATCTGTAACTCCAGACTCAGGGAATCTGATGCCACCTCTGGCCTCTGTAGGCACCAGGCCCCCACATGAAGGCAAACACCCATACAAGTTAAATAATAATAATAATACAAATAAAAACATTAAAAAAATAATAACAGCAGACATTGATATCTGACCTTCAAATGTACATCACATGCATTTCAAGGTGTGTGAAAACACACATGTGCAGAGAGGTGAAAGAAAGCAAAATGTGAAAACATAAAACAGTGAAAGGAACTGAAAATCAGAAAGAGACTCTGGTTTGCCCAAGTTCTCCCTGTGCTCAATCTTTTGCAGAGCTTGCTTCCATAAATTACTAGCCACCATTTTAACATATTCCATTTGTCCCTGATAATTCTGCTACTTCATGCTTACTCGGACTAAGTGGTCCCCACTATATTAACTGGGCATTTGTTCATGCTCTTTGCTTTTTAAAATATCCTTTTTCATGCTATTTCCATTATCCATTCATTCAACATTCACTGTGCAATTGCAATGTTCCAGGCAAAACACAGGATTACAAGAAGTAAAACATGGACCTTGCCCCAGGAGATTTATGATCTGATGAAGGGGAAATTAGCTTCTCATCCTAATGAAATCTAACACCCTTAGAAGAGCAAGGACCACACTCACACTTTGCTTTCACGGGATGAGCTGACGAGGTACTGCACAGTCCATTTAATGCTCACGTCATGTATGTGTAAATTTAACTCTAGATTCCAGTATGAGAGAAAACACAGTATTTATCTTCCTGAGTCTAGTTTATTTCACTTAGTCTCCAATTCAAAGAAGAGCTATTAAAAATGGTGGAAATTCAAGGTTTACCAGTCCATTTCTCCCTACCACACATCACCTCCTCTTGTTTTTAATGTGTGAAATCTTTTATTACCCAGGGTAGGAAACCGTGTTACCTGAGGCTTCCAAGTCCTCCTCCTCTGGGGCCACGACTATACTTCTCCTCAGAGGACTTTCAACGTCCACGAAATACTTCCAAATCAAAGCTCTCAAGTAAAAAGAACAACAGAGAAGTTGGAACATGAAAACCACAGAACCCCACCCGACCGCCTTCCTCCAGGGACCCCGGGTGCGGGCAGTGGAGGCTTCCGCCTCGGTCTTCACCTCGGCCTCCTTCACCTCGGCCTCCTCCTCAGCCTCCTTCACCTCAGCCTCCTTCACCTCGGCCTCCTTCTCCTCGGCCTCCTTCTCCTCGGCCTCCTTCTCCTCGGCCTCCTTCACCTCGGCCTACTTCTCCTCAGCCTTCACCTCAGCCTTCTCCTCAGCCTTCACCTCGGCCTCCTTCACCTCAGCCTCCTTCACCTCAGCCTTCTCCTCAGCCTTCTCCTCAGCCTCCTTCTCCTCAGCCTCCTTCACCTCAGCCTTCTCCTCAGCCTCCTTCTCCTCGGCCTCCTTCACCGCGGCCTCCTCCTTGGCCTTCACCTCAGCCAGTCGACGCCAACGGCTTTCCCTAGGAAAGCCCGCCCCTCGGGCTTATGAATAATCAATGAGGCCACAGGCGCCTCTTCAGGAACAGCTCCTCTCCAAGGCTTACCCGCATTGCTTGCCTTGCTCCGCCTCATGAATATGCAAAATAGGCCTGGGGACCGCCCACCCACCTCGGCTGTGGGCGGGGCCGCATTCTAGCGCCCTGAAAAGCACGTGGGGAGCTCCAGGAGGCCTCGAGGGACCGCGGGGAGGGCTGTGCGAGGGGGCGGGGCTTCTGCTGGGGACGCCCACCGAGGTGAGTCAGGGTGGGGCTGATGGCCGCCAGGACCCCTGACCAGCGGTCCCTGAGGTCGGAGGGCGGAGCTGGTGCCCCTAGCCAGGGCTTGGGAGCTTGGCAGTCCTGGAAGGTGTTTTTTCCGTCTTCCCTGGGACTCCACTGTGGTCTTCTTTACATTAGTGTTTAATTATGCGACTAAAACATGGCTGAATTAACCTCACTTCGCGCTTATCCTCACCGGAGGCTCCCCGATCCTTTCCTCTATGTGTACTATGAAGCTTTCCAGAGCTGTCTGAAGTTCCTTAAACCTCTGCGGTGGGATTTCCCAAGGCCACAAGTGAGTGAAATACTTGACATTTCTGATTTTATCCCCACGGGAAAGGAAAAAATTAGGTTATTGAGAACACGAGTTTAAAACATAATGAGTAAACCACCATCAGGGTTAAAATAGTCAGGATTTTTCTCACCTCAGCAGCAGTAAGTACCCCTCTCTCCAATCTTGACAATCAAAATGGTTTCTAGATTGCCAGCGGCCCCCTCAGGAGCAAAAATCACTTTCAATTCAGTTCTGCTTGGATCTTGTACTTTACAGAAATAACTTTTTGTTTTCTTTTTAAGTTCCAACCGCAGCCCTTTCCAGTCTCAAAATTAATTTGCTTCCTGGCTGGAACATTAGAGTGAGTCCTCTCCATGCTGGCTGTCTGTCTATCTTCGTTTGTCCTCTGTTGCTGTAATGCAGACATCATTACCAAAAGCAGCTCGGAGGAGGAAAAAGGTGTGCTCACCATACAGCTTACACTCCATCTTGAAGTGAAATCAGGAACTCGAGCAGAGCAGGAACCTGGAGGCAGGATAAGCAGAGTGCAGAGGGGAGCTGCTTACTGGCTCGATGCCTCAGACCGGCTCAGCTTGCTTTCTTACCCCACCCAAGACCGCCTACCCAGGGGTGGCCCCACCCACAGTGTGAGCCCTCCCACGTCAGTCAAGAAAATGGCCCACAGATTGCCCGCAGGCCAGTCTCTCCACTGGAAAGGCCGGCCACCACCATGTTCCAAGACCTTCCTCCTTGCCTTTCCACTATCGTATTCACAGGTACTTTTTTTTTTTTTTTTTTTTTTGTTTTTCGAGACAGGGTTTCTCTGTGTAGCTTTGCGCCTTTCCTGGAGCTCACTTGGTAGCCCAGGCTGGCCTCGAACTCACAGAGATCTGCCTAGCTCTGCCTCCCGAGTGCTGGGATTAAAGGCGTGCGCCACCAACGCCCGGCAGGTACTTTTTTCTCACTCTTATTATTCTGTTTTCTTCGCAGAACTTAATATGGGTTCATTTCTTTATTAACCTGTTCTTTCTATCTAGAATGTACACGAGGTAATAAGTTTCATCAGAGGCTCTCCCAGTATTCAGTATGGTACCTGGCAAGTGGTAGGCACTTGACAAAGATTGGTGGGCCAGGTGCGGTGGTTGGTGACTGTAATTCTCAGCCATTTGGAAGGTTGAGACAAGAGGACTACTCTGAGTAGCTTAGTAAGTAAGGCCCTGCCAATAAATAAATAAATAAATAAATAAATAAATAAATAAATAAATAGTGGAAAGAGGCAGTGTAGGTGTGTAGCCCAGTAGAACACCTGCCTCTTCAGCATGCAGCCCTCAGCCAAATCCTCATATCTCAAAATAAAAGTCAACATCAGTGAGATGAAACAATACCTTGCCCTCTCTCCTAAGTGTGTCGTCAACATTTCTCCTCGTTCCCATTGCTGGCTCCTTGTGATTTCCTTTAGAACGTGAGTGGATGAATAAGCACGCGTCCCTAGAGTGATGGGTGAGGCCTGCCTTGTTCCCGCTGGCTTATCAACTCCTGAGATGTTCGTTTTACCTCTTGCTTCATGTTCATTGAATGTATACAAGTAGATAATTGAATGAACTGATCACCGACTTAGGAAAAGTGTTAAGATGATTAAAATTGGCGGAGCTCGAGGAAGCCTTAGAGATCATCTCCGCCTCCTCCTTGGCTTCACAGATAAGGGCTTAAGTGTTTGCTCACCGCCCCTGGGCTTGTTAGCAGAGCAAATCGAGAGCACGACCCTTGTCTCCCGACTCTCATTTCAAGGCTTTTTCTTGTCCCTAGTCAAGCTAGTTTCTCATGACTCTTCTGTGAGCCTGACTGACAGCTCCAACGGAAATCCCAGCAAGGACCTGCTTCTTGTCTGCTAAAGGCTGGAGCCTGGTGCTCTTAGATCAAGTCCGCGCTAGGATAAGGAGCCAGGGCACCCAAGAGTGGGTACGATACCCACGGTTTGGGGGCCACCCCTGCCACTTGCTCCCCCTCCTCTCCCTCCTCTCCCCTTTCTTCCCCCTCCTCTCCCTCCTCTCCCCTTTCTTCCCCCTCCTCTCCCTCCTCTCCCCTTTCTTCCCCCTCCTCTCCCTCCTCTCCCCTTTCTTCCCCTCCTCTTCCTCCTCCCTTGCTCCCCCTCCTCTCCCTCCTCTCCCCTTTCTTCCCCCTCCTCTTCCTCTTCCCTTTCTTCCCCCTCCTCTCCTTCCTCTCCCCTTTCTTCCCCCTCCTCTCCCTCCTTTTTTCTCTTCCCTTCCTCCTTTTCCTCTTCCCCCTCCTCTTCCTGTTCTGCTTCTTCCTCTCTTTTCTTTCCTTTCGGTAATAGAAACTGGAAATGGTCTCTCCAAAGCCAAGTGTGTAATTCTCAGAATTTGTATCTTTGTCAGAAATTGGCAGTTGTTAAAGTTCTGACATCTGGAAGAAAAATGACATGTAAAACAGATAAAAAGGAGAGTGGGGAGGGATCCTATCTGAGAGGACTTCCCTGCCCAACCTTTCTCTATTTAGAAACCTTTGTATCATTTGACTCATCCTTTAGTCTCTAGTCAGAACCTTACCCCTTGCCTGCTGAAGGGGTTTTTGGTTTTTGTTTTGTTTTGTTTTGTTTTTTGGGTTTTGGTTTGTTTGGTTTTTTTGTTGTTAAGACAGGGTTTCTCTGTGTAGCTCTGACTGTCCTGGAACTCACTCTGTAGACCAAGCTGGCCTCAAGCTCACCGAGATCCGCCTGCTCTGCCTCCCGAGTGCTGGGATTAAAGGTGTGCACCACCACTGCCTCTGGTTAGCAGAATCTCATGGAGTCTTAGACTCTCTCCCAAGGCATGGGATGGCATACTGTATCACAGGAAGAGCAGCTAGCTACCAACAGGGAGCTACTTAACTGACTGAAACTGCACGTCCCATTTAGTTTAACCTTGGGGATCATTTGAGGGCAATCACAGCGGACATCATATTGAATATGAAATGTACTTCAAAGAGGACGTCTCTGGAGGCACCCCCCTCTTCAGTGTACCGCAACGAGAGCAAATACAGAGGGCAGAGGTTAGCTGCCGGATTTGGGGTGGGGCTAAGTTATTTACCACACTTGCTTCCAGCCTTCCTCAGGACTCCTGAAGTGACCACAGCCTCCGGTCCTGCTAGGGCACTGCTGTGCGTCCTTCCTCTGCAAGCACTCTGGTCAGCTGTGGGGTCTGCGAGAGGATGACTCAGACCCTGGGCTTCGGAAGTTTGGAGTTTCGTGAGAAAGGGGAGCTGCAAAGCCATCAGAAACACAGAGGGTAGTTTGTATATAGTGATGGGGCAGAAGTGTGTGGTACAGGACAAAGAAGAAAAGCCTCCACTCGGGCAACCCCAATGGCTTCGCAGGGAAAAGGCATCTTAGCAGAGTGTGACTATATAATTCCCTCCGTCTGCCGGGCGGTGGTGGCGCACGCCTTTAATCCCAGCACTCGGGAGGCAGAGGCAGGCGGATCTTTGTGAGTTCGAGGCCAGCCTGGGCTACCAAGTGAGTTCCAGGAAAGGCGCAAAGCTACACAGAGAAAC